TAGCATCATCCCAGTGAACTTAAGTGGATTCGCTTTTTCTTCTTGTTGTGACAGATGTTTTATGACAAACTTGCACCTACTTGAGGAAATCTCAGTCAGTCGACCGTTCTAAGACTTGCGTGAATTTACAAAATAGTAACATAATAAGATAATATTATCCTGCAAGTACCCACCGGGTCATAAATTGAGGCGTTTTATGCTTGCGAAACTCAAGCGGTGGTTGGTGATATTTAGCCCTAGTTCAAGAATTATACCCCGGATTCTGAGTGTTCTGCCTTTCTCTGACAGTTGTTTTGTTTCCAATTGAGTCTGACCACTTAAGTGTAGCCACTGAATAGTGGGCGATAGGCTGCGCTAGCTGTCGAAACTTCTGGGACTGTTAATTCGAATGGTGTGAATTCTCAAGAATCATCAGGTATTTAAAAGTATTTTTGGAGGGTGTCCCTAAGCTCACCACATCACATAATGGACTTTGTCACCACATAGCTTTCAGTATTCCTCCTTACTACTATGGACGTACATCCGATGTGCATTCGTCTGTCATAATTAGCCGGAAATTCGACATCCGTCTATTGGTGGATTTTACGGACGTCGGTGTTTTATTGCATGTTATTGGCAAACAATAACCGGCCTAAGGCTGATAATATGGAAATTAGCGCTAGCGTTCAATTAAACAATCAATTGCTGCTATCGTTCTACGTTTCACTACATCAGCAGTTTTCAAGAAAATATCTTGCCATCACCTCCTGCCGAGGACTGACCATTTCTGTTTTCAAGTATAAATAGGTGTTACAAGTGTAATGGTGGTACGCTTTCATCTGTTATGAAACAAAGCAAACACATTGAACTAAGCGTTGACAGGTATGGGATCGATGGTGTCCTGCGAGTGTGGTTTTACTCAAGTACATGCCTCAAAAAATTTTACTGCTTCATGAGTTTACATAGAGTGATGTTATTACGCTCACTACCTCACGCTTACGAATAAACGATCTGATTTCGATTAGCAAGGCAAGCTGAGTGTCGAATGCACCATCGGCATATACAAAATTGCCCCAGGCACTCGCATCCATTATTATATTTTTCCATGGTCAGAAACCAAAATTAGCCATTTTGAGCTTCCCTAGAGTCGTTCCCAATATCAGAGACTCGTTCCTCCTCGATCTCGGAAAAAATCTTCCTCCAGGGCATGTGTTTAGGAGTACGAGCAACTAAACCGAGGAATCAGGTATGACGTCAGTTTACCGTCCGCGACTCGTTGTCATAGAAGTGTGAACAATAACATAGCATGATATACCGCACGTTTTGGGTCTGTTCACAGACAGTGGCGGTTTTCAAGTTTTCCAGATGTAATACCTCCCACCGACATCTGTGGGTTCAACTTTTTGTCAGTGTTTCGTTCATTGATGATGATGAATTCTAGCCAATGGTTAGAGTGATTACATGGTATTAGAAATTTAAACTACTTTATCACGATTCATCCGTATGACTGAAACATTCTAGTGTCTCCAGGAGGCCCAAATTGACAGACAGTAGGGATTTCATAAATTTTTAGGTATGAGCCGAAACGGGATGCTACGGTCAAACTTTACTGCCGCAAACTGCGATTGGGTTCAAGAATGTGCCATTAAATTACAGTTACAAACTAAGTGCGAAATGCGTTTTATGATCCTGTAGGGCGCTTTCACGTACGCTGGGCTTTTGAACAATTGTTCAAAGACAGTGAACAGCTATTAGCTCTTCAGAATTTTTACATTGTTGCGAACATGCTAAAACCAGAGGAATGCTAAATAAGTCTGGAAACATAGCGCAACCTTTAGTCCCTGAGGAAGTCTGTAGACGTGGATTTCCAATTTTGAACGACCTTATCCCAGGGTGAGAGGAGCTGAAAAGTTTAACAAATTTGTTTTTACAGATTAACTTTCCAAGAACAATTCCCATTGCTCCACTGATCACAGAATCAAAAGCCGATATGGAGTCCACAAATAGGATGCATGAGGATTGATTGCGCTCTGGAGAAGTTTTCTGTGTGCCACCCTGGATGCGCACAGTTCACCTAAAATGACCCTATTCGGAATGTCCGAAATTAGGGAATCCGGAATTTTGCTATCACTACAATGTAAGCTGTATAGTAATGCTCTCTTTTGGGCTTAGCCAAAGGCATTAGCTTTCGGCTATTCAGTGTGAAACAGAAATTTTTTCGGGTGTTTCAACTCTACAATAAGCTTAAACGATCATTAATACGCTGAGAACAACAGTGTGCTCTCTTAATTAGCCGCAGGGAAATACGTCATGAAATAACTGAGTAAGCAAGTGAACTACTCGAAATTGGGTGAGCTTAAGGATAAACTGGCCAACCGAAAAATGACATATATAAATGAGCCTGGAAACGTTTGAGCGAACAAAAAATTGCAAATATGGGGAACCATTTTCGGCTTGCATTATCCAAATATCGGCCCTCCAAGCTCAACTCGAAACAGAAACGTTGAACTTGATATGCATTTATTGATTTGTCTAAAATAACTCTAAGTAGTACAAAATAAAACTAACTTTTTCGAAATACACCGGAATGCGCCATCTATTGCAGGAAAGTCTGTCCTTTAATCTTTTACAAGTGAAGGATAAGGGTTCCTAATAGCATTTCAGATAATGTTCATACAGCAGATATATATCTTAAAGAAGTGTGATTATTATATATTAACATAGGTCGTCACTTAGGGGGTTCTGGCCAAGTTAACCTTGGTTGAATAAACATTGTGTTTTGTTGGACATTCGTCCATAATTTTATCTTAGAGTACGTAAGGTTTCATTAAATGATTTGATTTGATGTAAATTTTTGTATATCGAAATGATGGGAATCACAAGAAAAACTCATTTGACGTTGCCTATTAAAAACTAAGCAGGCTATAATCCTCCGAAATGATCAGAAGATTGGGGTAAAATTTTTTAGACCACCACTAAAACCAGCTTTACTTGAGAAAATATTATATGACACACCTACACTGGAAGTTTAACAAAGGTATTGCTGTTGGGTGTAAAACTGTCTCAAGCCACAGAATTCAATACGTCTTAGCAGATATATAGATCTCGTGAACCAAAAACGGTAGATCCTTTTTTGTTATATGTAAAAAATGTTTTAATTTCGTTTATGAATATATTTGAAGATTCATTAAAATTTTTCATAAAACCCTTTCATCCAGGAACACTAGAAGCTTTGGATTCCTGTTTTAACAAACATAATAATGAAAGCAAAGCCATCCATATTCATTTTCTGTCAGGTCGGTGTCAGACTCTCAGGTAAGAAACACTGCTTGGTATCTATCATTCGTTTACTGCGGAATTGTTTGGTCGTTGATTAGAAGCAACCAGACGCAATGACAAGTATTCCCTGGATAAACTGAAAAGTGTTCGGAGCGGCTTAAGTTCCTTCTTACCCATTAATAGGAAATTCAATTTCATCATCTGTCTCCGGTAGTGCACTGTCAAAATTAAGTCAATTCAAGTTCTTTCCACGATTTTTCGTTAGCCTTTAACCGCCTTAAAATCATGGTCTATCATGAACGACCAATTTCAAAATACATGTACGTGAAGCTTCCGATGCACAGCTGCTTCCTATCAGGGTTCAGTTACCTTGGAATAAGTATCGACCATCATGACGGCCAGCTACCATTCAGACGGTACTTTCGCAACAAGAAGACATGTTTACTGCCATTTTCTGCTGGTAACGTTACTTTTTATGGAACTTCACCGTGCTGTACACAGTTTATCATCTTTGCACCATTAGTCAGTTAGCCAACCAAGCAGGGAAGGCATTACTTTTCGTACTTATGTGTTCCCACAAATCGGCTGTGCATCAGAATGCCACCAACACGAGGCAGCAGACCATTCACGAAGAGCCCGCCACCAGCTTCACCAGTTGCATGGCTCATCAGCTATACGAATTCCATGCGTTTTCGCTAGCCTTAAGTAAGGGGCTCCTTTAACAGAACACGCTTGATATCTCGCACAACTGAAATATGAGCTTTTGTATTTACTACAAATTCACTGGGTGAATATTATAAAGCAAAGAGTTTCTGAGCTTTTTCCGAGTCTACCGCAGGCGTCAAGTTCATTTACAAACGCTTGTATTTCATGAATTATTTATGAAAGCATTTTGGGCCTTATATAACTGCATTTGGGTGTCGCGCGTACCGTAGTGTATAGTGCTGACCAACACCCCAGAATTTAGATACATTGTTGGCTCAACAGACGTAAAAATAAATAATAAATTTACTACGAGTTTTGGTGGGTCGTAAAGCAGCCTTTAATTGCAGCAGTGTGTAAATATGGGTGAAATGGTTGTGCAATCTGGATGTGCGACTGCATGAGCCTAATTTATGACGTTTGTTCGGAAACCTACTTCGAAACGGAACGAATGGCTTCCTCGTTAGGCAGAAACAACTTTCTGACCATACGGTTCTTCTTTAAGTGAACCTTTTATCTTTCATTTGTTTACCCTTTCATCTGTCCACCTTCGTATCCATTGTTTTACACGTTACTTCATGAATGTTTGCCAAAGGGACCCTTGAATGTGACTTAAATGGTGATTAGATATATCGCCTTTTGGGATGAATGTGTCAACTTACCCGAGCTAACCGATGAATCGTGAGAGATTTCTATATTTTTGCCCTGTTTTTTCGGACACCGGCCAATGTCCAAAACTTCCGCATACCACAACAGTTAGCTCTTTACAGTTCAAGTATGCGTTGGCTTTCGGTATCTCACTCATACTTAACGGATGGTTCACTGCCGATGCCAGCCGTCCAATCTCGATGTGAGCGATCTTAATATCCTAAACGAACAGTAGTGCATCAATGAAGCAATTTGTGTACCACAAACTGAAACTATCACTGAGGCCTCACGTCTAAAATCCTAGAATCCTGTAACTTCATCCAGCTTATAAACTATTTTTCTTTATCCAGTTGTCCTGCGAAGCTTGTTGGTAATGACCGTCTTTAGTGAAATTATAAATGAGACTGGACAACCATATAACCAGAATAACTCGCCATTGAAAGACAGTATGCGTTTGGATTGAAATCCGTTCCCAAGGCCACAGGAACACCGGCTTGTATTATTGCTCGTGCAGATGGAGGTCGTAGCCGAAGTAAGTGGGCTGTGGTTGGCAACAAAACCGCAGCTGTACCACTGGCAGCCATTGCTGCAACACCAGCCGGGGATGCTTCCTCTAGGTGACTGGCAGCCCGAGCACCTAGCCGACCAGCAAGCTGCATTAGGAGAAAAACATTTTACTATTATTTTATGCGACATCCGTAATCAAAGGCAATAAAGAATGGATATTGGATGGACCTCTCCTAAGGAGTGTAACCAACATAACCTTTTTAGGTGCCTTCGGACCCCACAAAGGATAACCAAGTTTCGCAAATAAAGGTAACAGAATACTGGTGATATGGGAATTCCTGAAAAGTACACATATTAAGAGCGCCTTTAAACTATGCTAATTTTGTCGATTTTATATCAAAAGTGACTTCAAATGTGCCAGTTGAGTGCCCTCTTATCAGAAAACGTAGGTTACAAACACAATGGCGGAAATTTTGCATCACTTCTGAAACCACCAACGAAATGAGTATGACCCGTTTACATGATAAAGCTCATCGTAGCGATTATAATATCATAAAACATGCAATCTCCGATATGTACGTGTTTTCAAAGCCTACTCCTAGTGACACTTCAACAAAACAAAGGTGTCGTTTTGTGGTACAACGAAACCGTCACTGGTGCAGGTGAATTAATGGCACAGCCATGTGATTCTCGTTTAGCATACAGATAAAAATTCACATATACCAGTGAATATGTGGATGACCGATGAATCATTTATCAGTTATGACCAGTTGTAAACTATACTTCTTTCGAATCCTCATTAGATGGTTAGCGATGAAATGCGGACTATAGAAACAAAAACCTGACCATTTTCCGTTTACGTGAATCAGTTAGAACGACCATCTCATGGTAGAGCAGCTGTTTGAACGTGCTTGATTAGAGAAGTTGCCGACCGTTTGAAAAACACCGACATTCTTCGGTCACCACTAAATTAATATAGTAAAACAAAGCTAACTTCAGTTAATTAATTTGGCGGACCATCATGACGGCCAGCTACCATTCAGACGGTACTTTCGCAACAAGAAGACCTGTTTACTGCCATTTTCTGCTGGTAACGTTACTTTTTATGGAACTTCACCGTGCTGTACACAGTTTATCATCTTTGCACCATTAGTCAGTTAGCCAACCAAGCAGGGAAGGCATTACTTTTCGTACTTATGTGTTCCCACAAATCGGCTGTGCATCAGAATGCCACCAACACGAGGCAGCAGACCATTCACGAAGAGCCCGCCACCAGCTTCACCAGTTGCATGGCTCATCAGCTATACGAATTCCATGCGTTTTCGCTAGCCTTAAGTAAGGGGCTCCTTTAACAGAACACGCTTGATATCTCGCACAACTGAAATATGAGCTTTTGTATTTACTACAAATTCACTGGGTGAATATTATAAAGCAAAGAGTTTCTGAGCTTTTTCCGAGTCTACCGCAGGCGTCAAGTTCATTTACAAACGCTTGTATTTCATGAATTATTTATGAAAGCATTTTGGGCCTTATATAACTGCATTTGGGTGTCGCGCGTACCGTAGTGTATAGTGCTGACCAACACCCCAGAATTTAGATACATTGTTGGCTCAACAGACGTAAAAATAAATAATAAATTTACTACGAGTTTTGGTGGGTCGTAAAGCAGCCTTTAATTGCAGCAGTGTGTAAATATGGGTGAAATGGTTGTGCAATCTGGATGTGCGACTGCATGAGCCTAATTTATGACGTTTGTTCGGAAACCTACTTCAAAACGGAACGAATGGCTTCCTCGTTAGGCAGAAACAACTTTCTGACCATACGGTTCTTCTTTAAGTGAACCTTTTATCTTTCATTTGTTTACCCTTTCATCTGTCCACCTTCGTATCCATTGTTTTACACGTTACTTCATGAATGTTTGCCAAAGGGACCCTTGAATGTGACTTAAATGGTGATTAGATATATCGCCTTTTGGGATGAATGTGTCAACTTACCCGAGCTAACCGATGAATCGTGAGAGATTTCTATATTTTTGCCCTGTTTTTTCGGACACCGGCCAATGTCCAAAACTTCCGCATACCACAACAGTTAGCTCTTTACAGTTCAAGTATGCGTTGGCTTTCGGTATCTCACTCATACTTAACGGATGGTTCACTGCCGATGCCAGCCGTCCAATCTCGATGTGAGCGATCTTAATATCCTAAACGAACAGTAGTGCATCAATGAAGCAATTTGTGTACCACAAACTGAAACTATCACTGAGGCCTCACGTCTAAAATCCTAGAATCCTGTAACTTCATCCAGCTTATAAACTATTTTTCTTTATCCAGTTGTCCTGCGAAGCTTGTTGGTAATGACCGTCTTTAGTGAAATTATAAATGAGACTGGACAACCATATAACCAGAATAACTCGCCATTGAAAGACAGTATGCGTTTGGATTGAAATCCGTTCCCAAGGCCACAGGAACACCGGCTTGTATTATTGCTCGTGCAGATGGAGGTCGTAGCCGAAGTAAGTGGGCTGTGGTTGGCAACAAAACCGCAGCTGTACCACTGGCAGCCATTGCTGCAACACCAGCCGGGGATGCTTCCTCTAGGTGACTGGCAGCCCGAGCACCTAGCCGACCAGCAAGCTGCATTAGGAGAAAAACATTTTACTATTATTTTATGCGACATCCGTAATCAAAGGCAATAAAGAATGGATATTGGATGGACCTCTCCTAAGGAGTGTAACCAACATAACCTTTTTAGGTGCCTTCGGACCCCACAAAGGATAACCAAGTTTCGCAAATAAAGGTAACAGAATACTGGTGATATGGGAATTCCTGAAAAGTACACATATTAAGAGCGCCTTTAAACTATGCTAATTTTGTCGATTTTATATCAAAAGTGACTTCAAATGTGCCAGTTGAGTGCCCTCTTATCAGAAAACGTAGGTTACAAACACAATGGCGGAAATTTTGCATCACTTCTGAAACCACCAACGAAATGAGTATGACCCGTTTACATGATAAAGCTCATCGTAGCGATTATAATATCATAAAACATGCAATCTCCGATATGTACGTGTTTTCAAAGCCTACTCCTAGTGACACTTCAACAAAACAAAGGTGTCGTTTTGTGGTACAACGAAACCGTCACTGGTGCAGGTGAATTAATGGCACAGCCATGTGATTCTCGTTTAGCATACAGATATCACATAACATATACTAGTGAATATGTGGATGACCGATGAATCATTTATCAGTTATGACCAGTTGTAAACTATACTTCTTTCGAATCTAGATGGTTACCAGGTGCTGAACACCATTGCATTAAGACTTTTGATCCTTTCAATTGCGGTGCAAACGTGCTTGCCTGGAAATACTACTAAACAGTATCTTCATTAAATTCCATTTTTTATATTCTTCATCTTAAAACTTGTGTGAAAAATTAGTAGGGGTAAGCTAAATTCATCAGAGGCATTTGAAAATTAGTTGAGTCACTCAGTACCCAAATGGTGATTCGCGCTGCCAAGCTATCAAAGTACTATTGCAGTCTTGCTAGGGAAAGTGATTGCTCAGTTATTACCACATGGTATGATAGACATGGTATTTTAGATTTTTCGAAATGGAATCGGGGGTGGGGTTGTAATAAGTAATTTTATTCGAGACTCTGTTGGAGATAAAATTGCCTTGAACGGTAAGAACTGGTGTTTTTCTATTTTTCATTAAATTTGTTCTCTTTGGCAGGTTGGATAATGGCAGGAAACCTGGCATCTACCTTGCAAAACTCCAACTTATTACAGAATACAGGCGGTAGCTGAGAGTACCGAGCGGTAACTCATCAAAGTACAGGGTGGCTAGACTTGTCCCCCAACCTTGTGATTTTACCAGTGTTGACGGCTCTGTGAACCCTCAACCTTAGCCTCTTGGATGAACTGAGCAGAACAGGCTTAGGTAAACGTATTCGGCAAGGAAAACCGACAAAATGAGTTACCGTCATTTTGGATATTCATCACTATATGCGATGCCACTGTCACTGCAGAGGTCTGTTTTGCGTTTGCCAAATACTGCTGTCTGACAACTAACATCTTCAATATTACGGATCCCGAGCTGGCAACACTAAACGCTCCACTTAGACACATTAGGAGCACTGTTTCATCCACGAGTAAAATATAAGTTCCATATAATCGGACACGTCATTGTTAGGACTGCAAACGTCCTCCCCATATGTCGTGGTTTTCCCATTTGCCTTGTTTATTCGCGGAGAAAACCACGAAGATAAAATTTGGATGCGACAATGAGCCTCAAAGTAGACAGATATTTTAATCGCCGCAGATTATGTGATCTTTTGTGATTCCCGAGTATTTCAGGTCTAAAAACCTTGGGTAAAAACGTCGTATTTTAAGATGAACCTTCACTTGAATGAACTGTATTTGACACTATGCTATAAACTGCACTTAAATATAAAAAGGCATTTTAGCATAATCTCTTGGCATTCAAAATGAAAAATGAAACAGAATGGACCCTACAAACGTGCAATATGTTTTTAAATGTTCGGTAATACAATACATTCTCATTCACACCTATGCTGTACGGTAATGAAATCCCGACTAAATCGAAACGGGTTTCACTTTTAACATTAGCGTAAATGTTTGTACAAGGCAGAGTTGCCATATACCAACCTCCAAACGAGCCTATACAAAGAGAAGCTAATAATCAAATAAACACCAAGTAATATCAGTCAGCCAGTTCAAGAGCCAAGTGATGGGCGGTGGAGAACTTCATTCTTGTTGAATGAACACCAAGATCTTCTTGTTAGCGAATTGTGCATTATGGCTACACAAGCTGTATAATGATGCAAGTTTGGTCAATGAATGACCACTGCAACGTTCTGGGATGTTGAATTTAGTAAAGTACTATCGACGGTATAGAAATTCAAGCGATTTTAAATTTTCCGAACGCACGAGTTTCATCTTAGAATATAGCCGATGTTCACGTTGGTGAATGTGCTTTGATTTCGAAAGCCATCCGCGTTTGTGACCCCACCGGCCACATATCAGGAGCTGAGAGGAAGTCCTCTTGACTACCTTCAAAAGAGTTCAGTATCTTTCCTAATCTCGTTACCGGTGTGTTCCGAGCGATTCTAACAGGGGAATCAAACCGCGCTTGTACGCATTTTACCATACACTGGGTTTTCTATATGGAAACATAAATGTTCGTATCATTAAGACTAACTTTCGACTTCCGATTCCGTGAACATTGATTTATAACCCATTCGTTATCCAAGAAAGCTCAAAATAGAAAAGACCTTTAGTAAACTTCAATGGAATAATGACACGGCATCTGAGATATGAGCCGAAAAATTCCAGTTGCTCAACTCGAATTGCTAAAAAAAATTTTGGATGACCACTTCTTTCGTACAGCAACTGTTTCTGTATTATTCATTTATGTTTGGTCCATCGATATACAAGTTATGTGTAATATAAATGTCAATGTAGCGTCATTGCTGATGGCAAGTAACAGTAGTTTTTGTTCAAAACAAATGGTGTAGTAGATAGATGTCTTTGTCTTTTTGCTGTTTGGAAGTAGACCCTTGTATACTCTGAAACAACTTATCCAATGGCCAAATAACACTAAATACTATATTGTTGAAATCGGCAAACTTGTACGCGCTAGAGATAATCCAATTCTCTTACTGCAACAGCAAAGTGCAGACATCCTAGTATTGTCGGAAAATCCAGACATCCGAATACTTGGTAATGGCACTCATTGCAAGGAGTGGACAAGAACAGAAATAATGAGCAAGACAAGGCGGTATAAAACCAATCTCACAGCAGTATCGCCTGGTTTCGTTTCCTCCTGTGGAATATTTTTAGCTAACCAACATGTACCCTTGATTGTGGTTTTAGAATGAACATTCTATCAGTGTTCGCGGAGATGCAATCAACTACATCAATCCTGGTAATCTTAATATGGAAGCGCAGAAATGGCATTGAGTGTCATTAGTAAATACTAAAAATAAAGTAATTTATGACTATATGAGTAGAAGTGACCGGATAATATCAACAAGATTCTTCACGAAGTAAAACTATCGTAGGATTACCCTTTAATTTCTTGCTTCTGTTTTCCGTTTCGTTTTGGTTTTCTCATCGATCAGTTGCTCTGCAACCGTGTAAACTTGGAGATCGATTTCTGCTTGGATCTGTTATCGCTGATCGAGAACCATTCCATTCTACATATGGCTTACTATTTGTGACACAACTCATGACTAATATGACAATTCCGTTCTGATGTGTATATAAAGGCACAGTTTGTCTTTGAAGGACAGCACTTAACTGAGCGAGAAATTTAGCTGACGCCGATTTATCTTCACACTTTGAAGAAGGTGCACTCTTCTTGAATAAGTCACCCAGTTGTGAGTCTTATTTATGCGTGTAGCATATATGTAGACTAAAGGCTACACGCCTCGTTTTCCAAAAAGCATTAACTAGCATGCAACTAATAGTGCTTCAAACTGTTGATATGGCCGCATTAAACGGGATCCAAGTAAGTTAATGTGCTCCGCAATAAAAGCCTTTTCTCTCATAAAGCTGTCACAGTAATTTCAGGAGGTGAGCCTCACACAATTGTTCCGGAAGAGATTCTGAATCGTAAAACAATAACAAAACCGAGTTTGCTCCGGGGATCCTTGTAAATATCTGTGTAACCCTCTGATTTAGCAATTGTTTTGATTACCTTTAGACAGTAATTTCAAGGTTGGGAAAGATGGAAGGGATAGAATGGAAAATAAAAATGAAAAATTGATATGCTGGGTTCTGTAATTAGAAAACGTCGAATAAGCTACTTTTTTGCTGCAGTGAACAATTCTTTGTATATATGCCTCCAAAAGCTCGGTGTCTCGCCGTTTTAGGAATAACAAACGTCTTAAACTAACCGGATATTAAATGTCCACTGTCACAATAACCATGCGGACCTCCCACAAATAAACAGGCAAACAGCTAGTTCGTTGGATGCTAATTATCCGAACAGAGAAAGTAGGACGATGAAGTATTTTCCCATTTTTACTATTTTTGAACCTTTTTGCCCGGTTAAACCAGTCTCTCTCTTTCTCTCTCTCTCTCTCTATATATATATATATACATATATATATATATATATATTTATATTGAACCACACGTGACCGGTGCAATAAACTTTCGACAACCGAAAATTCCAGCCTGTTCACAAACTTGTGAAGACGTCATTGATTCCTCCTTATCCAACGGAAGGAAACGTTTCTTGAATTTTAATTCGCCCTACCTAGGCATGTTAACTTTGCATAAGGAAGCGAGGAATTCATTTCCATGGTCCTTTCAGCGAGCTATTGTCTACAATTGATATTATTGGCATGTGACTGACAAGGCAACCATAAAAGTTTAGCAAGTTTCTGCAGTGCGGCTTGCCCGCATGGCCTTAGGTTGAATCATGACTATTTCTAGCCACCCCAAAGTCAATTCCTAGTTTTTAGACGTTTTCCTCAAACAGCTAAGGAAGAATCTTCCTTTAGCTATAAAATCTTGCGTACCGAAACTCAAGCGCATAAGAATCCCATCTGAAGATGAGGGTAGGGAATCCTGTGGTGAGTGTTATTATTGTTGATAAAGCAATCC